TTCCATTCGTAGAATCCCCACTTTGACTGAACTTGTTCCTCTTTTAAACTATCTCCACCATATGTTTTAAAGATTGTTGTCTAGTTCTCCTCTTTGAAACATATTTTTTTCCTGATTCCATCTTCCTCATCCGAATTAAAATACACCTCTCATTATCAATCAAAATTAACAAGCATATACAAAAACCGAACTTTATTTACAAATACCTTTTTCTACCGGAAAATAAAAATGGATTGCTTTGAATTCTTCCAAACTGTAAAAGAAAAATAGAGTAATATGAGTGATGATTTTGAATGAATACACCCAACTATATATAATAGAGTATGAGCACAAACAAAACGTGAGTTAGAGAAGCCCTTTTAGCGTGACAGAAAAAATTTAAGTGAAGTGCGTGCATTCTGTGATACAATGTTCCAAACAAATCACAATAATGTAAAGCGTGAATGTTAGATCTTCCAACTGAGTCACATGAATTGTCAATAAAGAATTGTCTTTCTTTAGACAGGGTATTTTGGGGGGGGGGGGGAAATGGTTTTTTTCCACTTTAATTTAATTAGTTAATTTTTTAATAAAATAATGGGAACGACTTTAGTTTTAACTCTTATCCTTGAGTTGAATGTCGTTGCTCTTATTTGTGTAAATTTTTATAATTACTTCAAGTAAAAAAATGGCGATCGATTAAGAAAAATATTTCAATTATGGACATCTTCATCGGCACCCTCATATTAGTTTTTTTGGGGGAAAAAGAACGAGATCGATGATTATATACCACCGATCTAAAAGGTTTCGAGTTTGTTTATAGCCCTAGAAAAAGTAATTAGTAATGAAATAATTTTGAAAAATAATTGTTCATCATAACAACCAAGAAAACTTTGATATGAACTATAAAGAGAAACCATTACAGCACAACTGACGAAAACCACTAATGATCATGATACCATTACTAATAAAAACTTTTTTATTGCAGATCGTAATATTACAACATTGCAGGCATATCCCACTAAATTGTTCACTGTGATGAGAAGATAAAAAAAAGACTTAAAGTAACGAAACCAACCATAAAATCCTCAATTTAGACACTTAGAAAATGATATTCAATATAACTCACCGGTTTGGGAGTAGTGACAGTGATTCAAAACATTAAAATATTATTATTGTGAAATTCTAGTGTCAACTATAAAATGACCATAAGGATTCTAAAGACTGAAATTTAAACCCTTAAGGCTAAACATGTCTAAGGCCTTAACTCATATAAATATAATTAATTAAATTTCTTATCGATTATCGGGCACTCTATTAGAAATATGGATAAATTGAGACCTGAACTAATAAGACGATAAGAAGTTTATTGTAAACTGAGACTCAAAATGTTAAACCATTAACCAGAATCATTGACCTAATAACCAAATTATCGATTCGAATTATCGATTTTGATTTGATTTTGAATATCCCTAATAGCAAGTGGTAGGCCATAAAATGATTTCACTTGACAACGTCTTCTGAGTCATGTTCTTTGCATCAAATTTTCCTAATACAATTAATAACTCTAATATGATTGGCGAATTACTGTATAAAAATGAGTTTATATAGTTCGTACATGAAGAATAGCGGGGGTGGGTTACCAATAATATGAACTCTATTGTAACCAGGATGTCATAAATAAAAATTAATCACAAAGGCTAATATGAGATGTTTCGTATTTGAGTTGGTCATAAGTTTTGATTTTAACACTTGTAATATATGATTCAATATATTTTATCTTTTATTAATCATACTGTTCCTTTTTATAGGAAATATGTCGTATTTGGAGTACTTCTAGAGGTAGTATCATCAAATATTGGCTTAATAATACACGTTTAACATAAGTACATAACACATGAACTATTAAACGATAAAACAATTAATATTGATAAAGTTATTCTAAATACACAAAAACAAAATAACAAGGACTGATCGAACAAACATACACTAATATAGAATGAGAAAAAGAATCGTGACCAAAAATGGGGGTGGCTGGTATTTCAGGTTTTGTTAAGGGGGAGAACTGACAAATGAGAGAGAATATATAGCACATCAATTTTTTTTCTACAAATGTATATAAAAGATTTCTTTCACATATAAAGTGATGTGTAGTAATATCACTTTTAGATGGTACACTATTTTCTTGGTACGACTTCCTCTTTCTCAAAATATTTGTCATTTTGAAAGTCTAAAATGAACTTAACTATTTTCTTATCAATTTTCAGTATGCTAATGGTTATGCGATTTGACTCAGGTCCTTGTTTATGGATTTAAGGGATGGCTATGTTTCAAGATGGTTGTGATGAAATTGTGATAGTTTGATTACCAAATTGGGATACACAACATGTGAATGTGGGTGTGAAACATGGGTGAATGATGGGTCTCAAAAGAAATGGACTTTTGTTGTGGATATCCCATCATGGACTCACGAGAAATGGCCTTTCGTTGTGGATTTATGAGAAATTGACTAACGAGAAATGGCTTGATGTTTTTACTATTAAGGAGGAGGAGAATAATGATCCTGATGTTGTTATCGCTGCGGAATAGGAGGAGGAAGTAGAGACTGAACCTGATGTTGTTGTCGTTACGGAGGAGGAGGTGGAGAGTGATCCTGATGTTGTTAACGTGGCGGAAGAGGAGAATGTGGAGACTAAACCTAATGTTTTTAATATTGAGGAGGAGGAGGAGGGTCCTAAAGTTATTATCGTTACAAAAGAGCAGGAAGAGACTGAACCTGATGTTGTTACATTGCGGAGGAAGAGGAGGAGGAGAGTGAGGAGGAGAAAATAGATCATGATGTTTTTATCATTGAGGAGAAGACATATCATGTGTTGAATGAAATAGATAAGGTTGTTTCTTCCAAGTCAAACATGTGCAGAATAGAGGACAAACCCAAAGAGTTTATGAATACAACCTCATATTCTAAATCAGAATTTGAATCTTCAATGGATGCTTTTCGAAAGAATTCAAAGAAGATTTTTGAAGAGTCCGAGTTTATGAAGTTTATTGTTGATTGATTGTTGATTGATTGAAAGTTTGAATTTTCTTCACAACATTTGTATTGAATGAACAATAAACTTCAGAAACTCAGACTCTCCAAGAATCTTTTTTGGATTGTTTCGAAGAGAGCCTGTTGAAGATTTGAATTTTGACTTTAGAATATGAGGTTGTATTATTAATCTCTTCGGATTTGTCACCTATCCTACACGTGTTTGACTTAGAAGAAACAACCTCATCAGTTACATTCAAAATTGGAGACGCCTTCTCCTCAATAATAAAAACATCATAATCACTCTCCTCTTCCTACTCCTCTGCTACGTTAGCTACTCTAACTCAAGAGCCCTTACTCAAGAGGGCTTCTCTTCCTCTTATTGTCAGAAGTCAAATGGTTAAGTCCAGTTGCTTATACAAATTCAAAAATAAAAAAAATACACTTAATGTGATACTTTATATTAACAGCACACATTAACTGACAGATCTTCAAACCACAACATATTCAAAACTTTAATATATCAAGTTCTAACAGTAATGTATCATGACTTATAGGTCAATATACAAATTCATGAATGAAAAAAATAATGATTAAAGCACACGAATATGTGTTAGATACTTTTTTCTATCAATCTTTTAACTCGAAAATTGAAGTTATGGCAAATAAACATAACTAATTCTGCCCAATTTAATTATAAAATAACAACTTTCAGTTTCCTTCATATTTGAGATTTGTCATCATACTGGCAAGCAACCACCAACAAAAAAATAAATATACCAAGAAAGTTGTCAAAGAAATTAAGACCTGATCGTCAATCATAGTGAGATCTACGTAAAATTCGAAGAACTCAAAAGCTACGATCTTCAATTTTTTCTTTCTTCGAGAGTGTCAATCAAAATCAAAATATTTATCTTGTATCTTATCAAATTTTTAACAAAATTTTTGAATCCTACTTGAAAATTTCTTCGTTGAAATAGGGTCAAAGATGAAAAGGGATTTTGAATTTTGAATAGATTTATTATTTTAGGATTTAGTTTCTCTGATTAACACATTAAAGAGGAATTGAATACTATAAATTATGGGATTTCAATATTATTTTTTGATTTGTTTCCTTTTTAAGCGCAATAACCACATTCGTAATGCATCACAATTAATGTATCCGGCTAACCAATTATGTATCCGAATGACTTATATTTTAAGGAATTTTTGAAAATAGAAAAAAGTAGGAATAGAATGTAATTTAGATTTTATATTGTGGGATTTGTGTAAGTTATATTGTTTATAATGTATGTAGTATCTCATATTTGATATATAATCTATAACATTATATGAAATCTATTATGAGGTGCTATTCTTAAAAGCAAATTTGTATATTTTAAATAAATTTAGTCAAATTGGCTGATTTTACATGTAGTATAAATTCAACCATTCGCATATAGTCACTTATGTTCCATAGCCATAGTTTGTTAATTAGGATTTGTACTTAGATGTTAGAGTGAGGAGAGAGGTGAGCGAGGGATGGCAAAGAGTAGAATAAGACTAATTGTATTTGTATATCTATCATATAATTATATATGCATATATATAATTTGTATTTATATACATATAAAAGAGGAGAGAGATGACGTGATTATAACTAAAATTAAGTTGGGAGCCATAATTAATTCAAACTGTAGCAATATTAGCTAATTAACTACTATATATGTGCTTATACACATAATTTCCCATTAGAAAAAAGTGCATTTAGATTCTAAATATTCTTGCAAAAAGTATGTCAAACACAATTCATACTTGATAGTTTTTAACGTTCCAGTATATATATATATATATATATATATATATATATATATATATATATATATATATATATATAGAGAGAGAGAGAGAGAGAGAGAGAGAGAGAGAGAGGAGATAATTAACTATACATGCAGTTTTAGCCAAAATATAGCATTAACAGGTGTTAGGAATGACAAAACCATCTAACAAATGAAGAGAAGAGAAAATTACATATAAGGAGTATTGTACTTTTTTAATCATCTAATCAAAATTTAAAAAAAAATATATCATTTCGTATAACCCACCTAAGATATCAATATCTCTACGGGGGTTTTAAGTAGTTAAAGAAAAAGTCTTGTTATTAACAAATTGGTGCAATAGAATACTAGTATTTCTTGCCACTAATAGATCATATTTCAAGGGGAAAAAAAGGATGTAGTGGTATTTATTCTCCTACTACACGATGAGGAAAGATATTCATGAGCTTCTCTTCTTACCGTTAAGAGACTTTCACTCCTTACTAATTGTCCAGTATTCGCACTGAACTGCGGGTTCTACTGCAAGCTTAAAGTTTTCCCTGGACCTTGCCTATAACTTACAATCACTAGGCACAGAAAGTAGTTCTGTAAGAAGTTCTCCATCACATACAATCTACTAACCTCATATACTCCAATATTTTGCACGACTGCATGTGGTTACTCCAACAACTGAAAAATACATCGATAAGCCATACATACAGAGAGGGAAATGGACTGGAGGACAACCTAACAAAGATAGGTAGTACTGCAACTTTTTTGATAAAGTAGCGGTTACTAATACACCACTTGGTTTTACTCTTGCAGCATTAGCCAAACATAAACAAGGACAATACCAACTGAGAATCATCTTCTACCATGGATATAGCTGCAGATTCACAGTAGTTCTTGTATTCACCCCACTACCCCTTTTCTTGTGACAATCTACGGGATCAACCACAAAACAGAGCTGCAAAACAAAGGAATTACATATGACTACAACTTTAACTTTTAGGAGCTTCTAGGTTGTAAGTTCTATACTCTACTTCCCGTAAAGAATTCATGGCCCTTTCCACTCAACATGAGAGCTTTTAAAACACTGAATAATAATTTCAAAGTAGTTACAGTCTACCGAGCTATCCTTTGATGTGTATTACCAAGTGCTAACCATCTTCAAAGGGATGAAAATTTAATAAATTTACTCTCTCACCTCCAAAGTGATAAACGCTGACACTTTGAACGCAAGTTCAAATCACTGAAAGACTCTAGCAGTTCACAACTAAATTACGTGCTGGAAGGAAAAAAAACACAGAAAGGAACATCACTTTAAAGAGGTATTATTGCATAGTGAACATCACATGCCTAAATCATTCATATGAAGTATCATTAAAATTTACATTAAAAGATTGAAATTTAAAACATAAATATACAGAAATAGTTACGATCAAAGAAAACAAATAATTCTTAAAACTTCATTTTGACAAGACAGAAAACATAAATAAATGGTCAAAACTAAAAGGCATGAGAATGTCGTGGAAGTATGTGCAATTCCCCTTTTGATATCACAATGATGTGATAACCCAATATGGCGTACAAATAAGACTAACAGAAATGCCCGGATAGGAAGATTGAATTTTGCAATCTTGAAGACTATAAGCTCCCATATCTCTACCAGAAATATTAGTAAAATAGATGTGATTAGGTTTCACTCTAATAGACTTAGATGTATCAATTGAAATTGATCCATTCTTCCCCAGAAAAATTGCTCTATCTCCCAAGACTCTAATCTCTTTTGCTTTCCTTCTAATTAAATCTAGTTTCCATACTCGAAATTTATAGGTTTTCAATCTATCAAAAGCATCATAGTTACAAAATTGTGAAACAAATAATAGTGCACCTGATACTTGACTAGATAAAGCTGCTTTGGTGGATCATATTTTGTTTTTCCGAATAACCAATTGGAGTTCATAATCCTCATCAATAACCCAAACTCCAGTAGAAGTTATTACATAAAATTTTCCATTAAAGTAGTGGATATCCCATAATTCACCAAATCCATCAACATCATAAATTGGAGTCCAAAAGAAATCACCAGGTTCCCAATAACCCAAATGACTTTTATGCCTACTATACGACATAATTAGATGATAACGAAGGATTAGCAGATAATATAATTTTATCTATAGACACATCGCTAGTTTCATGAGTTGGTTCCCAATATCTCAAGCCAATATGTGGAGGAAGATGAATTTGAGCATGTGAAAAAGGATACAATAACTTCATTCCTCCGATACCTCTATATTCGAAGGTAGCAATCCATCCATTGTTGAAAAACATTCTCGATCTTTAGCTTGTGGGAGAAATACTCGTGTTATTTTCTTCTTAGAAAGAGAGAAAGATTCTCGGTAATCATTGTCGTCATCGTCTTTTTCAGCAGTCAACATAAGCAATGGAAGTAGTGGGAATGTTCCATCAAAGTTTTCTTTAGAAGCAGCAATTTGCCATGATTTACAACAGCACCAAATACAATGAAATCCTCCATAAACGTAACACGATTTGCTATTGTAAGTAGTAAATCGTGTGGAAGTAACGACCAATTCACCATAGCTAGGGCAAAAGAGAATAGTAATTTTAGTTTTAGGGATTTTGCCTTAGAGGAAATTTATGTAAGTTGGGGCAAAAGCAATGCATTATTAGGTTGGGGTAATTGAGTTATATTTGATACTATAATAAATCAAAGATTTAATTCAATTTAAATTTATTTGGGTTGAGCTGGATCATAAAATGGGTTAACATATGACCTAACTCAATTTTTACTATTTTTCATTTATTTTATTAAAATATTATCTACTTATTAAGATTACTTTCTTTCTTGGGAAAATTGTATATAATAGCAAACTAATAACTTAAATTAAATGGAATAGCTAGGGTTTGATTTAATTGTGCTCCTTAGCAAACATTAGCTAAAATTTGCCAGCGTCTCTCTCCCAAAAATCTCGGTCGCCACTCTCCATTCTCACTCGCCTCTCTCGCTTTATACATAGAAGTGTATAATTTTGATTCTGTTTTATATAAAGAGAGAGAAAATTGTATATGCACATGCAAAAATTTATATCTTCGTGTTATACACTTAATTATACAATTTACAAACATTTTACTTCAAATATTGCAGAGTAAAAGGCCAACGAATTATACAATTGCAGTGAAATACAATTTTCTTCTAGCTTTATACAACAGAAGTGTATATATTGTTTTTCTGTTTTTGTATAAAGCGAGAAAAACATATATCTTCTTGCTATATGCTTATAATTATGCAATATACATACATTGTAATTCGATTCAACTGTATGCACAACAAATTATACAATTGCAGCGAATTATACAATTTGGGCCGCAAATTATACAATTTAGGCCAACGAATTATACACTTGTATATGTATAGCAAATCATACAGTTTTATGTTTGCTATGGAGCGCAATTATGCAAAGTTTTCTATAGCATACAAATATGAATTTTTTGTTTGCTATATGTGAAAGTTGTCCTTCTTTCTTTGCTAGTAAAAATGAGCTCGTGCTAATATTATATGATATACAAATTATTAGGACAAAATTATTATTGATTTTCTAATGAATAATCTCAGTCATCTAAAATTATAAATATAGTAGAAGATGATGTTTTTCAATTACAATAAATTATTTTCAAAGCGTAATGAGTCTATCGACTTTATCATTTTATTTAATACGATATTTTTTTTAATTTTCTAAAATTTATTATTTATATTTATTCATAATTTATTTTAAAGATCGTATTTATCAATTATGAATATCTTGAAAATAAAAACATGTACAACTATCTCCGATTTATTTTTATTTTACTCTATATTCGAAGGGTAAAATAAAGAATGTTTTCTTCATTCATTCTCTATTTTACTCTCTATTCATCATTTGTAGAGATAATTGAAGAATTACTATTCACTATTTTACTTTTTGATTATTTAATTATTATTTCATTATATAATATTTATAATTAACATATTATATATTATATAAGTCCATTTATTAAAATTTTAATATTATTAACTTTTTTTAATATGATATAACACTTCAGAAAAATTATTATATAATATATACATTTTCAGTTTGAATAATAATAATACTTCATTTAAAAAAATATATATTTAGAACCAATTGCAAACTCATCAATGAACAACACTTCATAAATAAAATGGCTCAAGTGCTTTATTAGGAAAAGAAATAAGGCAAAAGGTTGACGGAACACTGACTGACACAACTTCACAAGTATAGTTTAATGCATCTCAATCACATTTAGTAATATTTCAGTGGATGTCAACAATTGTAATGTAATAGAAAATGATGAATTTTTCATGTATTTGTTTACGTGGTCTAAAGATTAAAGCAGAAAATACAATTTCTTTTAAACAAATAGTCTAGAAAAATATTGTTATACCTCAATCTTTCTTCTAATGTCACCAAGCTGACATGTTGAAGCTTTTGAAACTCTCTCTTCTAATATACTAGAAGGATGATGCCCGCGCATTGCACGGGCCCAACGTGTCATTGAAATAAATAAATTATTAAGAATTGTGTATACAACATTTGTATAATATTTTTACAATATGTGCAAAATTAATGCTAGGTAAAATTTAATTGAGATGGTTGTCAATCCTTCTATTTTGCAAAAATGAAATTCAAGTAAATTTTTTCAAAACATTTGTATAAAAAGAAAAAAGTTGCAAATCATATCATCGTTAACCACTTCCTTGTGGTTTCGTGGAGATATCAATGTAGACATTACGGAAAACGTGGTAGCATATGTCCCTGTAATCACAGCTAAAAAGGCATAGCATGAATAATTATTTGTACCTGAGATAACAAATACAGTTTTTGAGCCCTCAAGCATGATGGCTAATGTAATCCAAAGGCATTGAAAATAGCGAAAATTGCGCGGCTAAGCAAACTTATACTATTTTATTACTCATCATAATTATAGTTTGCTATAGTTATCACTTGCGACTAAAACTATACACTAATTATGTGGGCTGACTTCCAGTTTTTATATTAGTCATGTTTGTATATATATAATTCGGTAGGATATACAAATGCATATGTATAATATACAATTATTTAACTTATATACATATACAATTCACCTCTCCCCCACTATATACCCTTTCTCGCTTGCCTCTCTCCTCCCTCTCTCAATCTCGTTGCCTCTCTCCTCCCTCTCCCAATCTCGCTTGCCATATATACAAATGCATATGTATAATATACAATCATATACCTATACAATTCACCTCTCTCCAACACTCTGCCCTCTCTCGCACGCCTCTCTTCTTCCTCTCTTAATCTCTCTCGCATCTCTTCACCCTCTCCAGTCTCGCTTGCATCTCTCCTCCTTCTCCTAGTCTCGCTTGCCTCTCTCCTCCTCTCTCAATCTCCCTTGCTATATATACAAATACATATGTATAATATACAATTATCTAACCAATATACATATACAAATCACCTTTCTTCCACTCTTCCCCCCTATCTCTCGCTTCTCTTCTCCATATAACATGTAGCTATGAATTGTAATTATCAAACTATAGCTATAGAGAGTAATTAATTATTTTTAAGTGGATAGATGTGAAAATTCCAAAAAAAATATAGGTAGTTATAAAATAAAAGGTTCATTTCTTACTTAGGCGCTTCCCACAGTTCACGATCAAACCAGACCTTGAGTTTAAATAACATAATATTACCTTGGTGTCGTATAAACCTCTAAGAAAATCCGCTTATTGCATTAACATATAATAGAACTTAGTCTTCATCAAGAGATCATGAGGTTTATACGTTAATGCAATATTTAATCGCCACACCCAAATATCTTACTACCTAGTTATCTTGTCCAATACTCTACCAACTGTTATAGATTATTTATTGATGCAACTCATGACATGAATAGCGAAGAAAATGAACAATACAATCTTTTTTCTATCTTCTGAACGATATATGTGTTAGTAATCTATTTGACAAATTATCAATTCTCAAATTTTTAGAGTTATCATAATCTTTGGCAATTGTTAATAGTTCCGAGAGAACTTATTGCACTTGACTGCATTGATTCTTTGTATATATTTTTCCATAATTTCTTTTTTCTTTCTTCCCATTCTCACTCTTGTTGGAGAAGGAGAAGAAGAGACATTGAAAAGGAGGTATTATATTTTTGGGGAGGAAGAGCAAATTGATTGAAAATAGAGGAGAGTGATATGAGTTTCAAGCTGATGCATCAATTTGGTGATAAGATTTTACATTTGAATATCAAAATTGGAGGTGATTTTTTCATTGTAATCATAATTTTTTGGGGTTTCCCTTCCAATTTTCGGTATCAAATTGTGATGACTTTTGTTTACTAAATTCAAGGAATTGAAGAGACCAGCAATCATGAACTTGTAAGAACTAATTAAAGCAAACAAATATGAGACTTGACAATAAAAATAAAAAGACAGACATGTGTCCAAGAAGAAACAAATAAATGGGGCGAAGAAAAATTTAATTGTTGATTGTACAACTAATGTAATTTTGTGTACCATTATGTGATGCAGGATCCGTCTCATGCTTGTTACAAGACATCCCGCCTTCCATGAGTTGTAGAGAGAAAATGTTGAATCTTCCACATGTATAGTATTTCAAAGATGATGCACCAGATTCATAACAATTATATTTATATTATGCTAATTTTCCATTAATCAGCAAGTAAAGCTAAAACTATTCTGATCATGACAACCCGACACGTTGACGTTTCTTAAGATGTTGATTTTTCTAGTAGATGAAAAAATAATTTCTGACTAATCCTAATAATTATTCGTGTATCCATATTGGAGATTAATAACCTAGGAACTTGTAGGAGAAATAAAACATTTTTCCTTTTTTTGATTAGATTTAGAATATATACTGTAGAAGAGCAGTAGACAGAAGCAAAAGCCAACAATTTATCCATCGTGGACGAAAAATTGCAGAATAATAATCTCTGGTTAATCAATCAAAAAGTGTAAGGAGGAAGAATGGAAAAAAGCAATAACAAACCTTTAGCTTCTCTAGATGAAAAGTGGGATTGAAAATTTTTCTATGTTAGACCAATTTGTCTTCTTCCTAATCAACCCAAGGTCATTTCCTTCCCAAAATATTGTGATCATTGTTATAGTACTGCACACTTTGTTGATCACATATTCCCACTCGATATAATTTCTTATATAATACATAACAAAGATCCACGTAAAAGAATAATCAAACTTTAAACAGAGATCTATGTAATTTATTTTCAAAAAGGACCACACTTCCGTGGAAATTCAAGTTGTTGGCTCTTCATTTTTAATATTGCATTCGTGTTATTGAATACGACAAATATACACTAATTTTGGCAAATCCCACATGCACCCATTGACATTTTGAAGAGTCCAAACAACATTAGGTGAAAACTAAATTAAAAAAATGAGTTGCACCAACTCCTCTAGCACATCTAACGATTAAAAGTAACAAAGTAGTTCATCGAACAGGAGCAAGACCACATACACTGACCTAGGGAAAGGTAGAAAGAGCAATGGCGGTGGCACTTCCAGACTTGCAAAATACAGAGGCATCGTTAAAATAATATTTCATACTGATTTATTTATTTACTCGGTTAACTTATGTTTCTTAGTTTTCTAATAACAAAGATAAATTT